ATTAGTAGAGTCAAGTAGTTCTGGCTGCAACAAACCACAGTCTCTTTTGTGCCTTTCCTTCCTAATACTGGATAAAAATCTTGCCATCTATGAGATATAAAAAGAAAGAAATATGGCAGCTTGAAAAATACAGTCTAAGGTTTGATTCACTGACTGTTTCACGGTTAAGATAACATGTGAATTCCTTGAAAAGTCGGAATAGATTAAATACCCAACACATGCATGGGTGACAGTTCACAGAAATTGTCTCCGAATCCAGTTGTTGTGTTTTTCCATCGTCAGCTCCATCCTTAAACATATTCTGGTCCAATAAGCAGCCTCTATACTGTAGCTCTGCAGCAGCCTGTCAGCAGAGCAGACACTCTGTTCTTGGCGGCTTCAGTTATTTGATAAGACAAAACTAAAATCCCAGATAATGGAGGTGAGAAGAGAGCAGGCCTAGCACTTCACCTGCTTTGGCTGGATTTCCCAAATGGACCTTTCTCAGAACGTCTGTGTCTGACTTTAATATCATTTTGCAGAGCACTGGTTGACCCTCGAAGTGAAAGACAAATGTCTGCAGATGCACAGTACAATCAATATTGCTGCTCTGGTTCAGAAAAAAATTAACAGACACCAGCAAAATTGCTTTCCACAATGGTTTTAAGTTAATATTTAATTATGTTTTGCATTACCAGACTAATGAAGCCCCGAGTCATGATGTAGTGTTAAAAGAACAAAGAACTGACTCACAGAACATTTCATTGACAATAATGTTGATAAACAAAATGAATTGTTTTGAGTTTTTCCTTTAAGATAAATATGACATTTATGGGTTTTTAATGTAATTGTAAAAGGAATACATTTTGGGAATAGGGTTTTTTTTGTGCCAGTACCAGTTGACTAACGTTAATAAACCACCAGCCGATCGATTTGGGATTGTTACACTAAAAGAACAACAATACAATAGAAAAACACTGGCATGTCTACCAATTATATGAAATGGAAGAAAACAGTCTGTAGCGCAAGGTAGGCAGAGGGGGTAGTGAACAAAGACATGAAGTTAGCATGATCCTTTGTGGGGTGTAATAAGGAATCATTATTAAAAGAAAAGAAAATACAACTGACGAAACTGAAAAATACACACAATAGATTGGACATCATTGAGACACTACTGGTATACTATGAACTACTACTGCGATGCAGGGGGCTGTTTAGCCTGAGGGTACAGCATCGAAGACGATACAAATTAAAGAACATCTTACGCATGCATAGAGTATTTCATTAATTTATGTTTCTACAAACTTACAGGGCAGCCTTTAAAAAGAGTATGACAAGAGTGACAAGGACTCTTCTAGTGCATCAGAATTGTGCTTTTATAAAGGCTGCATGTTCAACTAAATAGGAGGGCCGTGTGTGGTCAGGGGCAGAGGTGGGAAGTAGTGGAGTACAAATACTTTGTTACTGAACTTAAGTACATTTTTCTGGTATCAGTACTTTACTCCACTACTTATTTTTCTGACGACTTTTTACTTTTACTTCTTACATTTTGAACACAAATATCTGTACTTTCTACTTCTTACATTTTCAAAACAGGTTTGTTACTTTAGTTCTAATCTGTGTTTGGTGGCGTGATCATTATTATTTAGAGTCATTGCGTGCCTATTGATTTGAACACGATCCGTGTATCCATCATTTCCTGGTCTTCTCTAAAGAAGAGGGACCAATGAGAACTTTGTCATGTTGCCGTTGTTCAGCATCGAAACATTCATTAGCTAACAAAGACATTATTGTTCTATTAATATAAAGGGAGGTCAGTTACTCTTTAAAACAGCTGGTAGTTATGGGTAATTTTTACTTAAGTACATTTCGAAGCCAATACTTATTTACTTTTACTTGAGTAAAGAAGATTAGTCAGTACTCCTACTTTTACCAGAGTATTTTTAAACACGAGTATCTGTACGTCTACTTGAGTAAAGGATGTGTGTACTATTGCCATCTCTGGTCAGGGGTAAATCAGGGCAACCCTACTTTTGGGTTTTGCTGCTATTGGTCAAGGTTGTCCTGCTGCTGCCGTTCTGCAAGGTGTGACCATGTTGTGCCTTAGATATTATAGGCCTCATCATTACGTCAGGGACCAAATAGGAAGGTATTTGCCTTCAATCAATCTGTGTAGCAGGGACCTGATTGGCTGTGGTCTTGCAGCAACTGAAGAGAGACCAACAGGACTTGCCGTGTCTTCTTCGGGGGAAGGGATATCTATGTTTTGTTGTATCTCCTAAATAAATAACAAATGTGTTGCCAGCGGCACACAATGTGAAGTATTCACATTTTAAAGGTTATGTTGGAAGAAGCAGCTCCATTGTTTTGAGCATTGTTGATTTCCATCCTTATGAAAGAAAGCTAAGTCAGATGTGAGAAGGAGGTCTTAGCTCTTGCAGTGAGCATGATTCCATCTTGAATTGTAAATGGAGCAGCTACATCATTATTCCCACATGACCTGCCTGATGATGTAACACAAGCCTACTGTACTAGAGAGTCACACTTTGCTGTTGAAGAGGGACGCATATGGTGAGATGGAGATTGCATTTCATACATCATACCAAAAAGATTGAGGACATTAGAAACCCATCCATTATCTCACCCAGGTTTGCTTCTCTCACTATAATTTGTGGTTGCTATTTTTCTGTCAGAAATGCAGTCTTGAAATCCTCCCATATTGCAGGTATCAGTTAGAAGAAGATTAATGAATACTTTTGACAAGAGGCCCAACAGACCCACTGAGCATGAAGCCGGCGGAGAGGAAGGGGAAGAGAAAGATTCATTCATCCCAAATCTGCAAAAAATGTGCAGTCACCTCCAAAAAAAACCCTTATAAAAGTATTTCTTCTGACATTTGTGCAGGGGCCAAACACAACCGTAGATTCAGTAAAGGAATACAAAACAAACATATAGATGTTAGCTTCAGTGATAGATAGCGCATTAGTTATGTGAGATAGTGATCAGTCTATAAAAAGCTCAGAATCATGCAGTTCGATCTCTGTTACATCAATATTCATCATAACTGTATCTAACACTATATGGATGTTGAGAAACCTGCACCAAGTCAACGCCCACATTCTGAAACCGTGACGGTAGGTTATATTATGATGTTATATTGTGAAAAGTCAGTGTTAAAGTTGACAGGCCAGTTAGTTGGTGTTAGCTGTTAAAGAGTTGCACTATAGTGCGTTTATGCATTATTCAGTTTAATATTCATATTTGGCAAATGTTATTTATAAAGCCATCATGATTTATTCAAATGCAGGCTTGTAAAACCGTTTTGGAATAAAAACTAAAGTTTTCCCTGCGATATGAAATGTAAATGTTAAACATGAATAATGGCACAAATCCATATCAGCCTCAAACATCAAAGTATGATAGCCAAATTATAATAACTGTTAAGATCCTTTACTTGGAGTATCTCATGTGGTATAACTCTCCTACACATTTCTCATAGCTTCAGATGTCCTGACTGATTACAACTTAAAACCATTTAAAAGATGTTCTGTCTCAAACATAGAGGATTTCCAGAGCTCATCTAATGCTTCCATAACATTAACAAGTTGACTCCTATTCTTAGTGTAAGTGGTGGTAGATAGATACATGCGTTATACAGTAGAATGTGCTTAAATTATAGAAGTCTGAATCCTATCATCAGGGTCTTGAATATTGACATTCTACATCAAATATTCCAACCCCAGACAAATGGTGTTCTCATTACAATTTACAATGCAGGGCTCCACTCCCTGTGCGTTTCTTTCCTGCCTGAGGAGCACCCTTGCACATATTGAATTGTACATAGAGGATTAAAAGGCTATCCCACGATTACCCTGATCCTGAGTGTAGCTGAGAGAACTACTCCAACCATAATCGCCTCACATGTCAAATTACTGATTGTAATCAACAACAATAAAAATGCCGTGGAAAGGCTATTAAAAATGTAATTTGTCACAAAACTCCCTCATTTAGATTTACATAACGATACATATTTGAACCAACTTAGAGGATCTAATTTCAAAGCCTGTATCGTGGCATCAGATTACATAACAGATGATTCCGGGTAGAAGTTGTGCTTGCTCTGTTGCGGTGCCAGAGAGAAGAAATAAACCCACAACTGTCCCTTCATGTAGTTTATTCAAGTGAGGACCCATTGTTGATAACCATTCCGATAAATGCCATGGCACTGCACACAGGTCAGGTGCACTTCATAATAACATGTTTGCACAATGTACCTTTAACTAAGAGAACGTGACTCAACCCAGAGAAGGCTGTGTGTGTGTGTGTGTGTGTGTGTGTGTGTGGTGTGTGTGTGTGTGTGTGTGTGTGTGTGTGTGTGTGTGTGTGTGTGTGTGTGTGTGTGTGTGTGTGTGTGTGTGTGTGTGTGTGTGTGTGTGTGTGTGTGTGTGTGTGTGTGTGTGTGTGTGTGTGTGTGTGTGTGTGTCTACAAATACAAGGAGCCCAGCATCACTTCCCATCAAAAACAAACACGTCCCATCCGAACTGAGAGCGTAAACACGATCATATTTTCAGAGAAAAACATAAATCCCCATGCCACATTTCCATTCACATAATTCCCCCATTCGTGCTAATACAATTTTAAACCCTGTCCTTCTTGAGCATTAATGTTTTATTTAATGCACAACAAAGCTAAGTCAGCGCACAGGCTGGTCACGCAGAGTGTACGCAATATGTAGCCCACTGTGGGTTTGCCTTCAGAGAAAATGGTACCCTAGCACATTAGCAGCAAGCTGTCTTTACTTAAAAACACACAACCCTGCTCGCCAGTAAGCTAATTAGCGGGAGGCGCAGTACCGTTGCCGATGCATCTGCTAAACAGAGCCTGCGGGCAGAGGGAGAGGAGGGGGAGGAGGACCAGGGGGCGAGAGGATACCTGCCGTCCGGACTACTGTTATAGGGTGCCAGTACAGAGTCAAACATAAACATTTATATCGTAAGTGTTGAATGAGAGATGTTCTTACCTGCACAGCCCACAAGTAGCAAGGCTAAAAAAATATCCCTTATCTGGACCATCGCAACTCCCGAGTAAACGTTAAACGGCTCAGCTAACGTTTATTTTCCGTTCGCGCCCTACCGTGTTGCACTCGTGTTTTCCTGCTTTATCTCAGAAACTCTTCATCCTAATCTATTCCTCTGAAGCAGGTCGGTGGTAACTGTCAGTAGGAGCGTCGTTGATGGTGACAAGCAGCGGCCAGAGATTAGCAGTGATGAGCGCCAGTGCACTGTTCAAAGTCTGACTGACAAGCAGAGCCTTCTCACAAACGTGGATCAATCCGCGGAGGAGAGGACAAACCCTGGGAAGTAGTGCGCGAATCTCAAAGGGAGCCAGTGTCATCACAGGGAAACCCCCGCAAAAAGACAAGAAAATAGTCTACAGTTCAAATAATGCTAAGGAATACTATTATTGTATCAGTTTTGAAAATACACGTAAGACTGTGTCCTAGCAATAATAAAAGAGGTACTTAAATAATAAACATTCCAGTTAAAAAAATTTGCATTTAGGATATTGTTCATGTTTTCATTACCAGACAAGGAAAACATTTTATTTAGAGCTTAACTAAGTTCTACAGTTTATGTATGCTATAACTACATGCTAAATAATAATATAAATTGCAATTAATGACCTTGACTATATTTATTTTTATGTATTAAAGGTTTAAAGATTAGTTATTGGTCCCTAATAAGAAACATAGTTTGGTTGCCAGTAGAGCAAAAACAAACTAGAGAATGCAATTCCTGAAGAAATTGCTGTGGGAATGCTTTATGCTGAAAAGCTGACGCTGAATTATTATGCTGAAATGTAATTTGTAAGAAGAAAGTGAAGAATTTAGATTGAAATGATACATGAACACTGGGGGCTTGAATGTGTGATGAGAGAAGAAAAGAAAGTAAAAAAGCTTGGAAAATCAGCAGAATATTTGAACTGCAAACTATTGAACTAACTTGATGGCGAATGAGTTGTCGCCATGGCAACTGTATTTGATGACACCCCATAATACGCTTAGATATGTTGATGCATCGTTACCAAACATGTGAAGTTTTTGGCTGTTTGGAGCATTAATTAATTAATAGTATTTGGTAACTTATTATTTTTATTATAAGTATTAATAGTAGTAGTCGTAGTATTAGTAGTATCAGTATTATCATTATAGCCATGATTACAAAGTTTATTTTTATTTAAGAGCTCCATTGTTTTTACCATTGTGTCCATAGCCAAGAGGTCATTGGTCATTTACCAATCATGTGTTGTGTTTTTCTTTAACTACTTATTAAAATACATTTGTAAAATGTTCCCTAAGAAAAATCAGTATTACCAAGTATTATTGCAATGTTTAATTTTAAGGCTGAATTACAGCAGTGTGTTGATTTTTTTGATAACAGACGGTTTTAGCAGGTATATTGTTTTTCAGTCATTTCATCCACAATACTTTTAATGATTTTCAGAAATTATTTTGTGAACGCAACAACTGTTTTTGAGGCATCTGGTCAAAAATGTTATGAGATTTTTGTCTTCTCGCCCAGCCTTAATGAATAACGTGATTATTCAAAAGAAGTTTCAAAGCTTTTATTAAGAGTCCTTGGAAACAGTTGTGTTGGAAAATCTATTTATTTAGTTTACTTTATTGATTCAATCTTTGTTTTTCCTAAATACAGTGAAAGTGGGGTGTGAATAATATTTAAATCAGCCTTCAAAAGCTATCAATTGTAATTTCTTTGTAACTGTAAAATGGACACTCCTCGAGGATAGTATGATGTGTCTTAATGATACATATAAAATGCTGATAAACTCAAATTGTAAATGCTTTTTACAATAAAAATCATTTTGCAATCATGAATTGTTAGGGGTTTTAGTTTTTTTCGTCATATTATATTTCCAGAAGATACAGATTACAGATAACAGACTTTAATACAGTTTAATTTGTAATTTTAAATACATACTTCTCATTTATCTTGTTAACATCAGTGTTGCCTTACAAAAGAACAGCTTGTTTTGCTTTTATCAAAATCATTCCAAAGAGATAACAACACGATAGCAAAAAGCCCAAAAAATGCTAAAGAAAACCCACAGTCATCAACTCTATACTTTAAAAAAATGCTGCTACAGTATGAGTCAAATACTCGGCCGAACTCCCTCGCCTCTCCAATGACCACAGAGAGCCTTATGCAACACACTTTTATTAAGGCTTTAAAGTGAATGGTGCCTGACAGAACAACAATGCAAAGTGAAGAGAAAGTTGTTTGCTCGAACAGGGTGGAACTGAAGCATCTGGCAGCCTGAGACGGCGGTCTGCCTTTGATTTTTTCACGGTTGGCCAGCATGCACATGCAAAGGGCCAAAATTAAGCAAACCCAAATCAATCTGCTGGCTGAAAATGCATTGTGGTCCAATCCTGCACATTTCCTGCAACCCATCCTTCTACAGCATTTCCTTCCACAAATACCACCTTAGGGTGTGTGGCCCCAAAAATGTTCAGACTTTCCTCCTTCCTCTTTTTTTTTTTAACACCCATCTACTAAGAATTGAATAACAGCGTAAGGGGGGTAGATGGGTTAATGGCACTGTCGGGGAGAGCAGGGAGGTCTGAGTGGCGTTTGTGCTTGGGCATCATAGATAGGCAGAGTGTGACTCAGCTAGTGACTCATGCATATAAATGGCCTCCAAAATATACGGTAGTGTTTTATTCAGTGTGCATTGGAGTTGAAAGCTGATGTAGCTTGTTTGTTTTTTTAACTTTAGGGTTATCTTTTTATTATAGCCTTACACTTAGTTCATTAATTAAAAAGCTTAACTTGAGATATCATTTTCAATTAGTCTGTAGAAAACTATACAATTATATACTTTTGAAAAATGTGTTGTGTTTTTTAACTTTGGGCTACAGTCCTATTTAAATTACTCTCGTCTTTTTCTCTTGCAGTGTAACATCGACATGCCTTAATCTTTTTCATAAAAAATGAATTTTCCTACTGATGGTGTCTCCTAAGAGCCTTCAACTCCATTTATGTTCAACTGAATCAGCTGTCAGTTTGTGGTAAAGCACACATAACATCCCCCTTTATCTACCTAAATCACCCATGAATCCCTTTAAAAAATGAATCAGTTACAGCTATAACACTAGTACACGTAGTAGAATGTACATACTGATGAATTCTATCAGATTGGATAAGCTTAGTTTAGATCAGATATGATTAAACATACTTTATTGAACCACAATATGGGATATATTTGTCACATGCAAAAGCATGTTAACAAGGTATTGCATGCAAGTTCAAAATTGAACAAACATTTAAAATAGAAGAAATTAAAATAAATATATTAAAAGCAAAAACATAAACACATATACAACCCTTAAGCTTAAAACACACGTTCCAGACACACCAATCCGTTTTGTGTTCCCCGTCACTCTGTTTCTCTTTACAGCTCATTTCTCCCCCTCTTTCTCCAGCCTCCTCTCATACTGTTTCAGCCATCACCACACATGAATACTCTTTCACGCCTACATGCACATACACACGTGAAGTACATTACCATGTATTTATGACAACATTACTACTACAGTATAATTCATCCTCTTTTCTCTATTAAGTCAGAATATAATTTCAGTTCAGAGTCTAATGTATACTGGCCATACTGTCAGCATAGTTCCTAGTGAGAGGATGCTTGTGGACATCCGCCACTGGAGGAGGTTTTTAAATAGCTCCTCTCCTCCTCCACTTCTCTAACAGAAGGCAACATACAGTACTATTATGTACATTGGTTTCCAGGTCATGGGAGAAAAAGTAGAGGTCATTTGTGCAGGGAAGGGTATGCATAATCATGTTCAGTGCATAGTAGTGTGACTCAGAGGTGAGCTAATGGTTAGCATTGCTGAGAAGACCCTCCCCCTCTCACTGACTCGTGCAGTGTATGTTACATAATGAATTATTGCAAAAGAAAAATCAAACAAAACACAATGTGGTGCATCAACTGGACAGTGGAAATGCAGCATCATGGTTTGAAAACCTGAATATTTAAATCTATATTTTGCATATCTCATTTTCTCTTTAAAAGATAAAAACAGAATATTGCTGTATTAATTCATTTATTTTTAAATGACCCCACTTAAATACAAAAGTCACAAGCAGAGCCACAAGTGTCAAAGAGACTTTGGTTCGATATCCTGCAGTCGAGATGAATGACTTGGTGACAAGCTTTGAGAAATCTTGGAGCACGGCACTCTCATTCAATTATCACCTTTGGTGTTGAAAGACTTAAGCTTTCTATAATCTCAGGACTAAGGGGTGCATATCAGTTAGCTTGAGGGGGAGATGGTGTTGTCAGACAGTGGTTTCATTGTCCTGAGAGTCTGTCCTGCAAGGCACACAGGGCTCCTTTGTAGACTGCAGATATTAATCTGCGTAGGCAGAGATCTGGAGGAGTCTGACTAAGCTCACATACAACCACACACATCAGCACACACAGAGACACACAGACTCCACCATATGCATATTCATTATGTAACAGCAAAAAGAGAGGGTGCAGTGTCCAATACATCATAAAGATGCATTCTTTTGCTGTGATTTATTCAGACAGGCTGTGGTTTGTTGTCACCGCTGTAAACGTAAGGTGTCATTGCCAGATGTCACTGTAATGCTCCACATTTCATTATAAGCACAAAGAAGGCTTAGTTCCACTGACAGTTCAGTGTATTCCTGCCAGACCAGTGACAACACTTCACCTCTGCCTCATCAGCATAACCCAGCACGCATGAAAACTGCTCTGTGACCACACAATTACAGAGTCAACAGAGTCACACAAAGAATTTAAATGAATATGGTAAAATGTAAAATACCGAAGCTATCTTGGTGGTAAAATGTTTGGACAGCAACCCCCACTGTTTGTTTCTTAATAATCTTCTTTTAACGAAGAACAAAGGTCAACCACACACAATTTCAGGACTGAACTGTAATTGCTTGATAAAATAAGGTAACCCAAAACAAGAAATTCACTAAAAACTCAAAGATTGAATTACGCTTGAATCAACACCACTCTCTGACACTGTCTTCACGTAATTCAAAACTACATTATTTCTTTTGTTAAATGAGTGCTTCGTAAATTCAATCAAATTATCCATCTGTATACTTGCCTGCAATAGCCAACACGTGTGTTTTTGTAATGCAATATGTCCTAATACAAACTGTACATTAGTTTACATGTAATTTGGGTGGTGCATTTATCCAAAGCACCTTACATGCACTTCATTACTATAAACCTA